GAATTCTCATCTGGGACCCTTATTAGTCCCTCTTGTCAATAGCTAGCACAAAAATAAGGAAGGGTGGTCTCCTAGCCCCCATCCATAACGAGTCTTCCCATCATCTCCTCCTTCTGTATAGTCAGGAAGTCTGTGCCTCCCTCCCAAGCCACTGAGGAACTGAGGGCTTTCTGCAATTCCTTGTCTTTTTAGAGTTTCTCTTGTAGCTCTAAAGACCTTTACATTTCAGTGGATCCTCATGCTTCTCATATCTTCTGTCTCTCAGGGCACAGTCCTTCCAGGGTTTTAAAAGCATCCGTCAGATTCCGAAATCTCCAGTCACCGCCAGCCTCATCTGAAATCCCAAGTCACCTGCTCACAGGATGGAAGAAGCTGAGGACTCCGCTCGGTCCTGGGGTTCCTGAGGCTGGCAGTGACCTTCCATGCAAAGAGCCATCCCCAAGAGGATAGGATGGACCAAGAATTAGGAATATGCAGAGAAGGACTTGAGACTTTTTAGGGTCACAGGTGAGAATGACTGGCAGAGGCCATGGGTACAGGAGGTCTCCCAATGGAGCTGGGGTCCTGGGCGAAGGCACTCCCTTCTGGTTCTTGGGGTCAGCAAGGTGTGGTCTGATGGAGATGGAGGGCAGGTTCACACTGTTGGCTGTGGTGTCCTCCTGGGACCAGGTGGGCTGAGCCCCTCCAAGGGCACAGACCTGTGGGTTTCCCCAAACCTCACTCTGAAGCCCAGGAGAGACCCAGTCCCAGCAGTCACATTGCTTCAAGAAGAAGAAAATTAAGCTCTTGGGCCAGTGATCCCTCCATGAATCAAGGCCCATGAGTTTTGTGATTCTTGGTCTAAACCCTCCTCCCCAACACCTGCCCAGGCTCTCCGTTCTCCCTTCACATAGACACTGTCCTTGACCATGCTCGACTCAGGCTCCTCTGAGCTCCCTTTATGAACGAGCCCTGACCTCTGGGCTTCCATGTTTATCTCTGCTTTGCCCAATTTTAGTAAGAATTGCAACTGTTTTCCAATTCTTACTTAAGAAAGAATCCTGCAGAGTCAGTTTAACTCTAGGTATCTGATCACCCTCAATCAGATGGTTCACAGGTAAGAACCCTTATTCTCCATCAGCGTCAGCTGATGTCTGGCCGCCTGGGCCTGCCTTCAGCAAGAATCCTGCTGGGTCGGTTTAGCCAGAATCTTCTTAACCCCTGAGGACTTCTCGTAGCAATTTTCCACTTACGGACCCCGCTCACCCTGCTCCATGGTTACAAATTCCCACTTTTCCTGTTCTACTCAGAGTTGAGCCCCGTCTCTTTCCCACACTGTGCGATTCCATCACCATGGTCCCTGGACCTACAGCAACAGTCCTGAATAAAGTCCTCCTTACTGTGCCTCAACAAGTGACACTGGATTTTTTTTTCTTCGACACCCTGCCCAGCTGGTCCAACAGTCTGAGAAAGGGAAGTCCGGGCCCCTGGCCTCTGCTCTGGACAGAAGCTGAGAAGTGGTCTGCAGATCACGGTGCTGTGATTGTCACTCTGGGCATCTCTCACACGCTCAGGACATCTCAGTTCCATGGTGGGAACCACTGTCCTCAGAAAAAGCTGTTTTCTTTCTGTGTGAAAGTAACCACCCGAATCCCCAAGGAAACAGGAAACAGGAAGAAAAGGTCGGCAACAAAATACCTATTAAAATTCTCCACATTTTGGCCGGGCATAGTGGCTCATGCCTGTAATCCCAGCACTTTGGGAGGCTGAGGTGGGGCAGATCACTTGAGGTCAGGAGTTTGAGACCAGCCTGGCCAACATGGCGAAACCCCGTCTCTACTAAAAATACAAAAATTAGCCGGGTGTGGTGGCACATGCCTGTAATCCCAGCTACTCTACTCAGGAGACTGAGGCAGGAGAATCGCTTGAACCTGGGAGGTGGAGGTCGCAATGAGCTGAGATTACGTCACTGCACTCCAGTCTGGGTGACAGAGCAAGACGCCATCTCAAAAAAAAAAAAAAAAAATTCTCCACACACAAAGAAACTGAAACACAGCCCATACATAGCGCCACTGACTCCCTATCAAATGTGAAACATTTTTAGGTGATGTTTCTCCACATGGGAAAGGCTGGTGGGGAGAGAAAGGGACAGGGCATACTATCACACAAACCAAGCATTTTTCAGGAGGGTGTGCACTGTGGGATGTGCTACAAACTATGAGGGCTCATTGCGGACGTGCAACTGAGGGAGGGATGCTTCTGGTGAATTTTTAAGAGAACAAGCAGTTTATAAAAAAGCCTGCAAAATATTGATCCTGGTGGGGGGCGGGGGAACATCTATTATATATGCATGATAAAACAGAGAAAAATAAAAATAGTCAGCATTTACCTGGCATTTTCGATGGAACAGACTCTGGTTTATTTCACTGAAGCATCATCAAAGATCCAATGAATTATATTTCTTTCCTTGGGTAGTTAATACCTGAGGAGTTAAATAGCACGGCATGCCAGTGAGGATTCCATCCTTGTATGTGTCTGTGTGGGTTCGTGTGTGTTTGTGCAACAGCTCATGGTGCACTCGGTTCAACGGAAGAAATACGTCTTCTATGGGGCTGGGTGCTGTGGCTCATGCCTGTAATCCCAGCACTTTGGGAGGCCGAGGCGGGCGGATCACAAGGTCAAGAGATCGAGACCATCCTGGCTAACACAGTGAAACCCTGTCTCTACTAAAAATCCAGAAAAGTAGCCGGGCATGGTGCCGGGCGCCTGGAATCCCAGCTACTCGGGAGGCTGAGGCAGGAGAATGGCGTGAACCCAGGAGCGGAGTTTGCAGGGAGCAAAGATTGCACCACTGCACTCCAGCCTGGGTGACAGAGCGAGACTCCCTCTCCAAAATAAAAAAATAAAATAAAATAAAAAGAAACATACCTTCTATCATTGATGTCACTCCTCCTCCTAAGTTGCCCCTGGTGAACACATACACACACACACACACACACACACACACAGTCCCTGGAGTTTACACTCAGCCCTTCACAATCATTTTTCACTTTCTTTAGTGTGATTTCATCTTCCCAGTGTCCGTCTCTCCTGAGCTCCTCCCCAGGGTAGTGTCCAATATGGAAGAAGCAGGGGTCAAAGGTGATGCTTGGGACAGTGGTTCTGTGCCCTCCTGCTGGCCTTTGGGCTTTGGGTCTGAGCTGAGTGGGGTCTGTGGGGTTTGCTTACTAGATTGTGGGGCTACCCCACTGATGTCTGTACCTGATGGCCACGGGTCCTTCCTTCCTCTCTCTGCTCCCTCAAGGCCTGGGGACCCTTCTTGTTGACTCAATGTCCACTTAGTCCCAAGGATTCAGGGACATCTGTGAGTATCTGCTGCTGCCCCATCTGGCCCAAGTGAGGCCTCTCCTCCCCTCCATGTTGGGCCCCACAGCAGCCGCCTGATGTTCTCCCCCAGGACACTCCTCAGGGGAATTGGGGTGGGGTCATGATCATAGGGTGGGCCTTCCCTCTCTGCCTGGCCACGCTGCACCACCAGGTGGGTTAGACGTGGCTTCTCCTCCAGGTGGGCTTGGGGACTGTGGAGCAAGAGGGACACCCCCTCCACACAGCAGTGTCCCCAGACCCATCGCCCTGAGTCCCAACCCCTGCATTGTGCAGGTTGGAGGATCCAGAAGAAAAGGTGAGTTGCTGCCTCTGCTCTTCTCTCCTCTCCCTGGACCCCTCCTCTTTCCACCAATCCCCACACAAGAACAGTTGGGTGCTTTTGTTTAATTTTCCCTAAACCATGACTGCCCTGATTTTCACTGCGGCCTCACTGACTGGAATTCCTGCACTTCCTTACACCGGAACAGGTACTGGGGTCCACTCAGCCCTCCTGTGCTCTGCAGCGGGTAGAAGAATTCACACATCCTCTCTCTGCTAAGGTCAGGCTGGCCAACCTTTGCTGAAGGCCTCTTTTACCCCCCTGTTCACCTCAGGGTCCAAGCCAAACAAACAAGACGTGATGGGAGAAAACACTGCACTAAGAGTTGAAAAACAACCAGAGAGAAGAAAGACAGAGATACATAGATGCAGAGACGCGCACACCAGAGAGAGAGAGAGAAAGAGAGAGAAAGAGAGAGAGAGAGAGAGCAAGGAGAATGTGTCCCACATGAAGAACAGAGAAAATCAGTCATCATGTAACAAGAAAGCAAAAATAAAGAGCACAGGTCTAGGAAACAGATCCTGGAAGGAAATTAAACTTGAGTACAAATAGAAAATTAAAACTCAGTACAAATTAAAATTTGAGAGTATGGCAGGGCAGAAACCTCCCAGTGCAGTGAGCTGCAGCCTGTCCTGGGGTTCAGGAACCCCATACGCTGGGCAGCCCCCACCCCTGAGACCTGGCTGAGCTTGGAGAGGTTGCTCCAGTCTCAGTCCATAGTTTCTCCAAGAAAAAGGGGGAAAATAAGGCTTGCTGAGGACAGTGTATACAAGGACTTAATGTGTCAATATTTGTATAGAACTAAATTAGCAATTGCCCCATAGAAAGAGCTGACTGAGCTTTTGTTGAAGTTCTAAAAATTATATCTATCGGCCAGGCATGGTGGTTCACGCCTGTAATCCCAGCACTTTGGGAGGCCAATGCGGGCGGATCACCTGAGGTCAGGAATTCCAGACCAGCCTGGCTAAGATGATGAAACCCCGTCTCTACTAAAAATACAAAAATTAGCTGGGCGTGGTGGCGGGCGCCTGTAGTCCCAGCTACTCGGCAGGCTGAGGCAGGAGAATTGCTTGAACCCTGGAGGCGGAGGTTGCAGTGAGCCGAGATCGCACCACTGCCCTCCAGCCTGGGTGACAGAGCGAGACTTCATCTCAAAAAAAAAATTATATCTATCTATATGTATTATGTATTATATGTAAATATATAATATAATTATTTATTTATATTTGTGTATTAAATATATATTTAATTTATATATAATGTGTATTTTATGTACGTATTATATATGTATAATTTTTTAACTATCCTTCTTGTAAAGGCCTACAAGTGCCTTTTCTGTTTTTGTTTTGGTTCCGGTTTTCCGGGATTTTTGGATATTCTTCCTTCTCATTGATAGATCATAGCAGTCTGTTTTAGAGGGTAGAACATGATGTTCTGATATTTGTTTACCTGTGCAGTCCTTTCCAGGCAGGGCCCCACCAGGAGCCGTGCCTGTTTGAGTCTCCACTTCAGGCTTGGCACTGTTTTATTTTGTTTTCTTTTGTTTTGTTACATTTTGTTTTGTTTTTAAAGATAAACACAAATTAACTCAGAGATTCTCTCACCCTCTGGTGACTCACAGGGTAATTTCCTGTTTTAATCTGAGTTGAGAGACCACATGAGACCACACAAGTGGGGCGGAGACTTGGATACGCCTCATCCAGCAGTGGACTCAGGGCTCTCTTGGGACACGTGAGTGTGTGGGCATGCTGTGTGCACGTGTGAGTGTATACATGTTTGTGTGTGTGTGTAAAGCTTTGGGTAGGTGAGGTCAGCTCTCTGTCTGCACCCACCCACACGTCCCTCAGACACCTCCCTCATTCATCCCTGAAACACAGGCTCCATCTGAAAATACTGACACCAACTCTGAGTCCTGTGATGAGCAAGTTCAGGAGGTCTTGCGTACGGCATGGGTGGTGAAAACTGTGCTCATTAATTTGATTATGGCGATCATTGTGCAATGTATACGTATATCAAATTATCCCATTGTACACCCGGAATATATGCTATCTTTGTCCACTCAATTTTAAAATGAAAACGCTGACACGTCCTTTGTAAGTCCTGTTTCCCTCACTCAGCTTTGAACAACTGTGAAGGCAGAGACTCGGCCCAGATGACCTGTGCACCCAGGACCAGGCATGGGGCCACCAGGTGTGATGTCTTCAGAATTATTTACTGATGCACAGAGTAAAGTATGACCCAGAGAACCGGGCTTAGCTCTCAGCTGTAAATGTATAGCACTGTCTCAAGGTTAGCTCTTCACTTCTAGGAAGGTCTTCAGGGTCAGAGAGCAGATCATTCCAACAAAGTCTCTGGGGTCATTGGAGATTCACAGGAGACACCTAGGACCAGCTGGGGGACTGCTTCACTGCTCATCAGATCAGCTGGGTGTTTGTAGCAGGGTCTCTGGAGACAACCTGTGGCTGGGTTTCTGAAAATAGCCAGGTGACTATAGTTGGGTCTCTGAAAACAGTCAGGTGAATAAAGCTGGGTCTCTAGAAGCAGCCAGACAACTGCAGCTGGGTCTCTAGAAACAGTCACAACTGTAGCTGTGTCTCTAGAAATAGCCAGACAACTGTAGCTGGAGTTCTAGAGACAGCCAGACAATTGTAGATGGGTGTCTGGAAACAGCCAGCTGATTAGAGATTCGTTTCTAGAAGTAGTCAGGTGTATGTATCTGAGTCTCTGGAATCAATGGCAACACAGTCTATCCAAGGAGCTGGTCAATTGTAGAAGGAACCACCTGGTTAAGGAAACTTCTGGAAGCTGGTTAGAAAACTCGTCTCCAGCTCATGTCTCCTGGACAGCTGCCTGACTCGCTTTCCAGATGATGATGAGTCCAAGAGGAAGCCTTCCAAATGGCCGCTTCAGCCTTTTCCTAGAGTGACTTTACATCCTCAGGTGTAGAGGTCAGGTGGGCCTGGGGTCAGTGTCCGGCAATGGCTGCATACGTGCAGGACTCAGCCATGGGCTTTGTGGACTGTGGAGACACAGCCTGGGCTGTCCTCCGTGTGAGGGCCCAGTGGTCCAGCTGCGCATACGTCACCTCCTGGGGGTCCCCTGCAGCCGGGGCCTGGGAGAGAGAGACCCAGGGTGAGGGAGTACCTGGTGGAGGGTGAGGTGAGGGGCTATGGGACTGGAGGGCTGTGGCGGCCATCTCCACGGGCCCCGAGGACCCTCTCCTGAAATTGCATCTGTGTGAAGAGCCCTCCCACAGGGTATTAGGGTTGGTCTACGTGACAATGAACAAGGCAGAAGGGAAGACTCCTGACTTCCAAGCTGAGGCAAAAGACATCGTGCTTCCGCCCCTCCCCGCCACCCATCCTTGGATCCCTCCCTCTGGGGGAATCCGCGGTGTGGAGAGGCCCCTGTGAGAAGAACAGAGGTTTCCTGTCCACAGCCGTGGGAGTGAGCGTCTTGGACGTGGATCCTCCAGCCCACGGGAGCCTTCAGATGGACACAGCCCTGGGCGACCTCTCGACAGCAACCTTAGGACAGGCGGTGAGCCGGAACCGCCCAGCTGAGCCACTCCTGAATTCCTGACCCAAGGAGCTGAGATTTTTTTTAAGCTGCTAAAAGTGAGGTACTTGAATAACTAGTAGGAAGGCTCACCGAGGTGTCCATCTCTCTGTCCTTCTCAGGAAGTCCACTGACTGTGGCCTTGTCTGGGGAAGAAAATACATGGCCAGTTTTCTGGGAAGGATGTCACAAGGCAAATCTGCCTGAGACCCCACAACTTCAGTTGACATCCTGCACCCAATCTATAATACGACCTTCTAGAATGTTCCCAAAGATTCTTCCCTCCACTCCCCCCACATTGCATCTGGATTGGCACCAAGTTCCCACTTCCCCATCTCAGGCCTGTCCCTCCTCCTCCCCCTTCACCTTCTGTCCTCTCTAGAACATCAACAGCCAGGTCGTGCCTGAGAGGAAAAGTAAAAGTGAACCTCAGGGGCAGCCTGGCGGCAGAGGACTGGGTGGAGGCCCAGGAGTCATTCCCAGGGGCCTCACCTCTGCTGTGGCTTCTGCTCCTTGCCCTTGCTTCTGGGGGGCCCTGAGGACAGTTGGGGTATGAATTAAGGAGATCTTCTTCCTAGCCTCTCCTGACAGCTTCCCCAGGTCACTCCACCCTGACCCTGAGACCTACCCTGCTTTATCTGATTCTGGTGATGGAGGAAAAAGAGGACCAGAAGTAGGAGACAAAAGAGGAAGACCACTGAGACCCCGGTGAGAATATAAAGATGCTCAGCACTCAGGCCTTGGGAAGCAGGTGCATCTAAGAAAGACAGAAACAGGTTTTCAGCAGTGTGCATTTATTGAGCCCTTACTGTATATCACACACATGATGTGTGCTTGTCATAGACTTACTAATATATAAAATCTCTCAGGTAAATAGTAGTCCTGCAGCAGGGTGTGGTGGCTCACACCTGTAATCCGAGCACTTTGGGAGGCCGAGGCCGAAGGACCACGAGGTCAAGAGATTGAGACCATCCTGGCTGACATGGTGAAGCCCCACGTCTACTAAAAACATAAAAATTAGCCAGGTGTGGTGGCGCATGCCTGTAATCCCAGCTACTCGGGAGACTGAGGCAGGAGAATTGCTTGAACCCGGGAGGTGGAGGAGGCAGTAAGCTAAGATCACGCCACTATACTCTAACCTGGGTGACAGGCGAGAGTCTGTCTCAAAAATAATAATAATAATAATAATCCTGCAGCACAGAGATCGTTAACCCCTTCCTCCACCACTGGGGTCCTGAGTGCTGGGGTCCTCTGCACAGGGACACAGCTGGCCATTAGCAGAGCAGGAATCTGATCAACCCCAAAGCCTGACCTCTTTCTCCTTCCCCAAGAGGTACACACTAGGATCACCCTCCATGGCCCCCATCACTCACGATCATTGTGACTGTTGTCCAACGGCCTCTGCGTGGGTCCTGTGAGGGAGGAATCAGAAGGAAGAGGAGTTAGAGTCCTGAGCTGGACAGAGAAGGCTCTGAGTCCTCCCACATCCACTGTGGGGATCTCTCTTCACTCCCCACGACCCTAACAGCTCCTTCTAGACCAGCACTGACCAGTAGAGTCTTCTGTGATGATGGAAACTTTCTACATCTACTGTCCAGTATGAGAGTCACATGTAGCTATTGATATTTAAATTTATCCAAAGTTCAATGGCATGACAAGCCGGCTGCACTGTCTGCATCTGGAGGGCTCAGTGACCCACGTGCCTGACGCCATCCCTACTGGGTGGTGCAGATACAGCGCGTTTCCTGGGCGTGAAGCTGTGGTAGACATCGCTGCTCTCTGCCCTCCGCGGATCTAGGAAGAGACCAACTACCCGCAAGAAGAGGAAGGGAGACCTTCCCTCCCTGACCTCCTTCTGGGTTCCCACCAGAGTGCAAGAATCCCCCTGTCTGATTTTATCTGCCCTCGCGGCAGCCCCCTGATGGGGATGTAACACGCCTTCCTGTGGGAAGAATCCAAACCCAGATGTGCTCCTGTTTCCTGAAGCCCTGCAGCTAGCGGGCGAGTGTGTGCGGCGCCGCCCAGGCTCCCTGCGCAGCGCATTGCGGGCCGGCCTGTCGTCTCCTCGAACATTCACCCTCCTCTGCACAGTGCACGCCACTACCCAATTCACAGGTGACCAAATGGGGTCCTGCGGGGCTCCCCCAAACCCAGGGTCCGAGCCCACGTGTCCCTCTTCCAGGAACAGCAGTCCCTCCCCTCCCCTGCTGCCCAGGCAGCATCTTCAATATCCTTCCAGAAAGGCAGACATTCTATTTTGGAGTGTCCTTTCCTCTTGCCTCGTCCACGGCCCAAAGTCCAGGACACCACCCGTAATTCTACACCATGACTTCCTGGGTTTGGTCTTCATAACATGTGCCACAATTTAAAATGTGCAATATTACAATTTTTATATTATTTATAGTTATATGTATCATGTGCTATGCAAACATATAAAAGATAACAAATATATATTTTAATTATGCAATCTTGGCATATACATTACAATTTAATGTATATAATGTTAATTGTATGTGATTTATAATTACTTATAATATATGTTACATATATTCACTATAATACATAATGTATAATGTTTATTACATATAAATATATAATTAAATATAAAATGCTTCTATTATAATTATAAACCATAAAAATAGATTATATATTTATGTTTGTACCTATGTTTATTAATTATAACACCCGGCCAGGCGCGATGGCTCAAGCCTGTAATCCCAGCACTTTGGGAGGCCGAGACGGGCGGATCACGAGGTCAGGAGATCGAGACCACCCTGGCTAACACGGTGAAACCCCGTCTACTAAAAAATACAAAAAAACTAGCCGGGCGAGGTGGCGGGCGCCTGTAGTCCCAGCTACTCGGAGGCTGAGGCAGGAGAATGGCGTGAACCCGGGAGGCGGAGCTTGCAGTGAGCCGAGATCGCACCACTGCACTCCAGCCTGGGTGACACTTGCAAGACTCCGTCTCAAAAAAAAAAAAATTATAACACCCGCAAGTTATTACACTATATATTGTAAATATAATATCTTTCATATAATATAGTATACATTATAGTGATATGTGGTGATACGTTAACATATTTTATTATATAATTATGTTCCTTATATGTGTAATATATGATGTGAACATGTTTAATGTAATTGAAATGATAGATCTGAAATTCTCCATGGCAAATCATATCTTTTTATTTGTATATGCATGTATGGGAATCTGTGCATTTCTAATGCTCATTCTAATTATTTCTCCCCATTGAAGTTCACAAGACTGGAGGCCATTTCTCCTCATTCACGATGCGTCAAATCCGGAGCCTTCAGTGCCTGTCACAGTCCCTGTGGGGACAAAATACTTCCTCAGTATTAATAGCAGCACCCCTCCTTTGGGGTTTTCTAATCAGCACTGATGTCAGCGCCGTGTCTACCTGAACTCAAGTCTCCCCTAAACGATTCTACCAGGACAGTTATTTTACTGCCTATGTTTCACATGAGGAATTTGGGACACAGGAGGTTTGGGTGAGTCACCATCAGGCATAGAGCCGGGGGGTGGCAGAACCACCGGGATTTGAACCATGAACCCAGCAATCTGGCTGCAGGAGGGTCTGTCCTCATAACCTTTATATGTCACTGCATGAAAGGTGAGAGAGGAGAGAGGGAAGGAGAGGGAGAGAGACAGAGAAACAGAGGGTAGATATTCCCGCAGACAGAAGGCTAATAAAAACCAGACACTGGACTTGAACCAGGTCAGCTGGACTCAGAAGCACATCCGGTCCCGCTCAGGCAGCCCAGGAGCTTCTGAGGGGGTCCGGATGGAGCACAGCATGGCTCCTCCCACCTCCCCATGTGGCTTCAGCCCCTGGTCCCGCCTGCCTGAGCTCACAGCCCGAGCCTCACAGGCCGTCACTGGGTGACCAAGGACGACCACTCTGGTGATGAGAACACAGGTGGGGAAGGGTCCGTGGATGGCTTATGACCCCGTGTCCTCCCCTGGGAGGTTCTGGTCACAGATCACAGGAGGAGATGGACAACTTGAGACCCAGGGACTTGGGGCAGCTTCACTTCAATCACACAGAGTCCAGGGCCAAAGCCAGGGGCAGCTTCTCTCCCATCACAGAGTCCAGGGCAGAGCCAGATGGAAGGGAAGCCTCATGGCTTCATCCTGGTCACCGTTCACAGGCTACGTCCCCTCCCTGTGGCACCCTCCTTTTAAGGGACCTTGCTCCACTGTTCAGGCCTCCCCCGGAGATCAGAGAGCCAATAGGAGCATCACCGTCCCTCTTCGGGTGTCCCAGGTTGGAGGTGAGTTCTAAGTCCCTCCATCAGGTGCAGAGCGGGGTGAATGGTGAGGCCACGCCCACAAGGGGGCAGCGTGGAGCTCGGGAGACGCTGAAAGTCTGGGGTGGGGCTGCCCAAGTGGGTGGCCCCTGCCCCTGCCCCTGCCCCTTCATAGCTTTGTGACTTTAAGCAAGAAACTTTAGTTTATGTTTTGCATATTAGAGAGGAGGAGGAGTTACAGAACCAGACTAGTACCTCCCCCGGAGAGTGGTGCTTGCATTAAGTGCTTTCCACAGTTCCTGGCATGGAACGAGGTTGCAATCATGGTACCATTGTTGCTATGGTCTCTGGGAGCATTAGCCACCTCCCAGAGCCGGGCGGGTGTCAGTTCCTTCCCGTGGCCTCCCTAGACCTTGACTCCAAGCCCAGGGCCGAGGGCTGGACTCGGAGCTGCATCCCCAGCACAGATCCCACTGTAATCCCTTCCGGCTGAGGACCCTGCTACTGACCAGCTGAGGAGTCGGGCTCTGTGACGGGGGAGTCCGTGTCTCCAGAGGTTTCTGTGAACAGAGGCAGGAGAAGGATGTAGAACCCGTCCCAACCAACCTGCCCTCCTCCACCCTGAGCCCCCATCCAAAGGCCGCATGGCCATCAGGCAATCCCAGACAATGTCCCGAGACTCCTGAGAAAACAGGGCAGGGGACAGGAGGCTGGGGTGAGCCCCGCTGCTTGCCCCATTCTCCCTGGGGCTGGTCACTCCCTCTGCTCCTCCCACCACAAGCTCTGCTTGACCTCAGGGGACCTTTCAGGTCCTGGGGGGACATGAAGGTGGGTTGGAGCCTCTCCAGTGGACTTTGACTCCAGGACATCTCAGGTTGAGCACACACAGGGGTGCGTGTGGTCACATACCAAAGGTTTTCCCAAAGCCCTGTCCAGCCCTGACCAGGAGCCATCCTTGGGCCCTGTGCTCTGCCCAATGGGAGATGAACCACACCAGGAGAAGCACATTGCCTGGGGCAGGTTCTGGCTCAGTGGAAAGGAATAACAAGTGAGACCATCCACCCTGTGTGAAAAGACACTCATCCCCTTGTAGGGGGGTCGCCCCCTAATCTCTGGGAACCCACTCCCCACCCAGCCAAGCAGAGCCAGCTCTGAGCCCACCGGATGCTGGGGCTGAGTGTCCAGGCCATCCGTAGTGTCCGGAGGAGACCAGGGCTCCAGGGACCTAAGCAGGTGCGAGGGCAGAGGGCAGGTGTGTGCAGAGGGAGACGGGGAGGGGAGGGCTTGGGGATCAGGAGGAGGGCAAGGGTGGCCACAGAGAGAGGGCAGCAGCTGGGACAGCGTCCAGGGACCTGTGCTCGAGGGCCGAGCTGAGACTGGGGCAGCGTCCAGGTGACGTCCTCACCTTTCACCACCAGGTCCAGGTAGTCGCTGTGCTCAGACCATCGAGGGGTCTTATAATAGATGCAGCGATAAAGCCCGGCGTTGGCTTCACTTACTGAGTCGATGCGGAATCTGGCCTCGGACTCAAATGGACCAAGTCGAAACACATTGTAATTATCTTTATACTCAAGTCTATCCTCCCTCTCCAGGCGGAATGCGTAAACGCCAACCGGGCCCCGGCACTGGAGGGTCACAGGCCTCCCCAGGGGGATCACGGTGCCTGGCTCAGCCGAGATGGAGGGTCTGGGCAGGGGCCCTAGGAGGGAAGCAGAGAAGGACCTCAGCGTCTACCGTAGGAAGTCACCATGCCACACGTGTCATTTTAGCGTCACACGTCAGGGATTTTAGCAATTTTGTAGAGTTGTGCAGCCACAACCACAGCCCAACCTTAGAACATTGCCAGGCCTCCTGCACCTTCTACGTGCACGGGAATCCTCATCGGTGCAGAGTTATTTTCCCAGTTGACAATAAGGACCCTGAGACTTGCTCACAACGTGGCCTTGCTCAGGGTCACGTGGGAAGTGTCCGAGCAGCCTGGGGCCCCTCATGTCTGCCGAGGGCCCAGGGCCACTTTCCAGAGGGACAGAGGGCGGGAGGGGGCACAGGACGGGGATGACAGGGTCATTCGTGAAGGACAAGGGACAGGGGAGCGAGGGCTCTGGAGATGGCTCGTGCTGGGGCCTGAAGGGCACTGGCCGGTCCCCGGGTGGGACTGAGTGTGGGACGGGGGCTGCCAGGCTCCTGTGAGGGTCCGATGGGGTGAGGGTGAAGCCCCCAGCCCTGACCCAGCCCTGATCTGCTCACAGCAGATGCCCAGCCCGTGACAGGTCCCCATTGCTAATGCAAGTCTCTGTGTAGCCACCACCTCTGGGTTTTCCTCTAGTTTCTACTTTCTCCTCAGCCTAATTTGCATTTCCTTGTTATTAAAGCTCTTGAAAAACCCCATTTATCTCAACTGGGCTTGGGGTGGAGGAGGAAGGGTGGGTTTGATGCCCTGAAACAGGAAGGTTATGTCAAAATTAGCAAAATCCCTGAGCAGGGCAGAGAGCTGGCAGGGCTTCAATTCGCTCATCCCGTCTTCATTCATTCTTTGTTATTGACAGATTAAAACTGCATATATTGAAGGTGTACAACATGATGTGTTGGTACAGATACACACTGTGGAATCGCTGAATCAAGCTAATTCATATAACCTTACTTTGCATAGTTAATTTTTGTGGTAAGAACATTTAAAATCTGCCTCTTAGCGATCTGAAAGCATACAATACATTGTGATTAACTCTAGTCCTTATGTTGCACAGCCTTGAACTTACTCTCTCTGTCTAGACGAAATTTTCTATCCTTTGACCAGCATCTCCTCAAACCCACCCATTTGTTCATTTTTCTTTCTTTTAACAGTATCTCAGTTACTTATCAATCCGTTTAAAGACATTTTTCATGAGCTGCTAATTCCACAAATGTGAGAAACACACACAGGGTGCCTGCCCTTTGGAGGTGGACGTCTTGAAGGGAGGACAGATACTGATGGGAGAACTGTCCAATCTGCAGCTGCGAACTGCAGTTAAGTTTCCTGTGGGTAAGTGCAGGAATCTAGGGGACAGGCGGGCGGTGGAGCTGACCTCCTCTGCAAAGTCAGGGGAAGCATTCTCTGAGCTGAACGCTGAGGGAGGAGTAGAAACTACCTGAACTGAGCAGACAGGTGACAGCAGGGCACTCAGAGTGGGAAAATCAGCCAGTGAGTGTTCCTCAAAGGATACAACGTTTCAATTAGAGAGGAGAAATCAATTCGAGAGGCATCATGTACAGCACGGTGACTACAGTTAATAACAACGTATTACATCATTGGACATTGCTAATTGAGGTGATTCTAAGCGTTCTCACCACATAAAACGATTAGCACAGGAGGAATGCCTACGTTCCCCAGCTCGACGTAGCCATTCCGCGCTGTGTGCAGAGGCCACAACATTACACTGGAGATGACAAATACGTGCAGTTTTCATTGGTCAATTCTAAACTGAATTAATTAATTTTTAAAAATCAGACCAGGTGCCGGGTGTCTCACGCCTGTAATCCCAGTACTTTGGGAGGCCAAGACGGGTGGATCACCTGAGATCAGGAGTTCGAGACCAGCCCGATCAACATGGTGAATCCCTGTCTCCACTAAAAATACAAAAACATTAGCCGGGCATGGTGGCAGGTGCCTGTAATCCCAGCTACCTGGGAGGCTGAGGCAGGGAGAACTGCTTCAACCAGGGAGGCAGAGGTTGCAGCGAGCCAAGACTGAGCCATTGCACTCCAGCCTGGGTAACAAGAATGAAACACCATCTCAAAAAAAAAAAAAAAAAAATCAGCATGTGAGACGGCCTGATGTTGAACAGAATAGGGAGTGTTTGAGAAAGTGAAAGAACCTGGAGGAATGTAGAGATGGGTGAGCCCAAAGTCACGGGGACAGGATGTGGGTGGGAAAATGGGCATGTCCAGACCAAAGAGAGGTACACAGGTCTGATTCTATCTGAAGATAAACAGGGGAAGGGCTCTGAGAAAAAAAAAAAATTCATCTTACAATGAGATATTAAATGAAAATTTTTGAATACAATTTAAAAACGGTGGAAAGTACAATGGTCATGTCTGTGCTTTCGCAAATCACAGCGTCCCTGGGGTCAGGAAGGGAGCGGGCAGCAGTGGCATGGACAGACTGAGGCCGGCCTCGGGGAGCCACGGAGGAGAGAGGGGCTGTCACCGGGGGGAGACACAGGAAAGGTCAATAAAGAGAGAGGGAAAGATGAGAAAGATTGAGAGTGAAATCACCAGGACTGGGTGACATGATGCATCTAGGAGGATGGAGAAGAGATGGAATGTTCAGAGTCTGCCCTTTGTGACTGTCGCATTCCCTGCCAAGAAGCTGCCGAGTGAAGTGTGGGCTGGTCTGGGGAACACTGCCGGGCTCAGCCTTGGTGGTGTTGGGTTTGAATTCTCGTTGTAGAAATCGGTGTGTGGAGGTGACGCCTGCACTCCCAGGGTGACCGCAGAGCTACTCACAGCCTCCAAGACCTGGAAATAACCTGAGTGTCCACTGTCAAATGAATGGATGAGGAAAATGTGGTGTGTCTATGCAATGGAATATTATTCAGCCCTGAAAAAGGAAGGACGTTGTATCATTTGCAACAACATGGATGAACCGGAGGACATTGTGTTAAGTGAAATAAGCCGGGTACAGAAAAACAATTACCACATGTGGAATCTAAAAAAGTTCATCTCGGCCGGGCGTGGTGGCTCATACCTGTAATCCCAGCACTTTGGGAGGCCGAGGTGGGTGGATCACCTGAGGTCAGGAGTTCGAGACCAGGCTGGCCAACATGGTGAAACCCCGTCTCTACTAAAAACACAAAAATTAGCCAGGCGTGGTGGCAGGCACCTGTAATCCCAGCTACTCGGGAGGCTGGTTCAGAGGCAAGAGAACTGCTTGAACTCAAGAGGTGGAGGTTGCAGTGAGCCGAGATTGTGCCACTACACTCCAGCCTGGGTGACAGAGTAAGACTCCATCCCAAAACAAACAAAAAAGGTCATTTCACAGAGGTAGAGATTAGAATGATGATATTAGAGGCTGGAGATGGGGGGCTTGGGAAAGACACAGATCAAATGGTACAAAGTTTCAGTTAAACAGGAGGAGTAAGTTTTTGAGATCTATTGCACAGCAGGCTGACTATAGTTAATAATAACTTATGATATATTTCAAAATTGCTAAAAGTAGATTTTAAATGTTCTCATCACTATAAGTATGTAATGTGATTGTTATGTTATTTAGCCTTATTTAATCTTTCCACAATGTTTACATACATTGTAACATCACATGGTAACCCACAAACATATACAATTATTTGTCGATTAAAAATAAGATTTTTGGCTGGGTGCGGTGGCTCACGCCTGTAATCCCAACACTGTGGGAGGCTGAGGTGGGCAGATCATAAGCTCAGGAGTTCGAGACCAGCCTGGCCAATATGGTGAAACCCCGTCTCTTCTAAAAATAAAAAAAAAAAAAAAAAAATTAGCTGGGGGTGGTGGCGGACGCCTGTAATCCCAGGTACTCAGGAGGCTGAGGCAGAAGAATCGCTTGAAACTGGGAGGCGGAGGTTGCAGTGAGCCAAGATTGTGCCACTGCATCCTAGTCTGGGTGATGGAGCGAGACTCCATCTCAAAAATAAAAATAAAAATAAAATAAAATATAAGATTTTCGAAAATAAGAAAAGCAAAATATGACAGGTGGAGAATGAAGGAGTGAAAGGGGTGAGGGTTATGCATTTTACATTTGGAAGAGTTTGCAATCTAGGGTATACTTAAAGGGATCCCTCCAGGCCCTCTAAGCATCAACATGACTCCCACCCAGAACTGCCCTTGGGGTGCCAGAGGGGACGGGGAAGACGGGACGAAGGTGTGACTCACCCTCCTGTGTGTGGATCGTCTGGGCCAGGCAGAGCACTGCAAGAGAAGCCCCAGTGAGAAAAGTGCCACCACCCAGTCTCCTTACGGGGCTGCTATCAAAAGGGGGCTGGATGGAGCTGGGGGGCATTCAGCATTTCATCATGACCAAACCAACCCTCCTCGACATCGCTATCTCGGTGTAATCCTTCTTGCTGCAAAATGGTTTCAAGATAAATCCCAAAGTCTCCTCTTCCAAAAAGGCTCCCGCTCCCCCAGCCCTCCTTTTTGGTGGTGTTGTTGGAGACGGAGTTTTCTTCTTGTCACCCAGGCTGGAGTGCGGTGGTGCGATCTCGGCTCACTGCAACCTCCACCTCCCAGGTTCAAGCAATTCTCCTGCCTCAGCCTCCCGAGTAGCTGGGATTACAGGCGCCCTCCACCACGCCCGGCTAATTTTTGTATTAGTAGAGATGGGGTTTCACCACGTTGGCCAGGCTGGTCTCAAACTCCTGACCTCATGATCCGCCCGCCTCAGCCTCCCAAAGTGCAAGGATTACAGGCGTGAGTACCGCGCCTGCCCCCCAGCCCTTCTTAAAGCTGACCTCATCCCCACACCCGGGCCCCTGTTTTTAGGACAAGGTCTTCTGTGGTCAGACTTAGGCCCCGGGGAGAGCAGCAGGGCAGTCTTGGGGGAGGAGGACACTTTCCTTCCCAGAATCTTCTGCACTGGAGTCAGGCTTGAGCAGGGAACTTTCCAGACCTCCCGACCCCCTTTCCAGCCTCCCCGCTGCCTCCAGGACTCACCTAGGCCCAGGAGGGCGGTGGGGTAACGATACATGGCCCTGGTCCCAGCAGTCCGGCCTGGCCTGGGACGCACCAGTACAAGGACACAAGCCGACAGGATGTGCTGGCCAGGGGCCTCCTGCCTGTGGGGTTTCCACAGCAACTGCCTCACACAAGAGGAAGAGCTTTCCGTTCTGTTCTTTCCGCCCTTCCCACTAGTGAAATGAGAGGGAAGGCCTTGGCCTCTGAAAAACGCTGCTTACCCGCATGATCAGATGACTCTAAACTAGTTACCTGATGTGTCAGCCTCTTTCTAAATCTACGGGACAAGGCAGAATAAAGGTCGGGCAACCAACTGACTTGGACGTCATCCCAACTCCACACGTTAACGACCACCGCTCCTGGGCAGGACGTTACAAAACTAGAAGTCGACATTTCCTCGTAGTTAAAACGAGAGTCATAGAAATCCTTCCCCAAGTTTTTAATATTGTGATCTCTGCTAAAATCCCAGCAAGGTATGTAACGCGTTAAGAAAAATCCTACAGTGAGCTGGGCGCGGTGGCTCACGCCTGTAATCCCAGAACTTTGGGAGGTTGAAACACTGTACACTCACTATAGAGAACAGTGGGGAGGTTCCTCAAAAAACCAAACATAGAGCTACCATATGGTCCACTAAGTCCACTTCTGGGTGTATATTTAAAAGAAACAGACCAAGCACCGTGGTTCACGCCTGTAATCCTGGCACTTTGGGAGGCTGAAAAATTGTGCACTCACTCTAGAGAACAGTGAGGAGGTTCCTCAAAAAACTAAAAATAGGCCGGGCGTGGTGGCTCACGCCTGTAATCCCAGCACTTTGGGAGGCCGAGGAGGGCGGATCACAAGGTCAGGAGATCGAGACCATCCTGGCTAACATGGTGAAACCCCGTCTCTACTAAAAATACAAAAAACTAGCCGGGCGTGGTGGCGGGCACCTGTAGTCCCAGCTACTCGGGAGGCTGAGGCAGGAGAATGGCGTGAACCCGGGAGGCAGAGGTTGCAGTGAGCTGAGATCACGCCACTGCACTCCAGCCTTAATAACAGAGGGTTTCAAAAAAAAAAAAAAAAAAAAAAAAAAACTAAAAATAGAGCTACTATATGGTCCAGTAATCAATCCCACTTCTGGGTCTACATTTCAAAGAAATAAATTCAGTATGCGAAGAGCCATCTGAACTCCCCCGATCACTGCAGCACTATTCACAATAGCTAAGACGTGAAGATCATCTACATGTCCATTGACGGATGAATGGACGTGGAAAATGTGGTACACGCACACAGGGGAATACTACTGAGCCTTAATAAGGAAGACAATTCTGCCATGAGTGACAACACAGACGAACTCTGAGGACATCACGCCAAGCGATGCAGATGCAGAGACCAAGTACTGCATGATGTCACTTACAGGGGTCTGCAGAGTCACCAGAGTCACATCACAGCAGTCAGTGGTGGTTAGGGGGGCTGGGAGGAGGGGAAAATGGGGAGTTATTAACAAACAGGACCTAGAGGTCTGCTGTCCGACATACAACCTATGGTCGACAATAATGTCTTGTTCACTTGAAATTTGTTAAGAGGACAGAGCTCATATTAAATATTCAAACAATGATATACAATAATAAATCTTATATATAAATAATTATAATGATTACATATAATCACAATATAATTAATATATTATTATTTAAAATTGTTTATCATTTTATATATAGTCATTACATATATAATTGTTTATATATAATAATATAGCAAATTATAATAGTTTTATATGTAATTGTCAATATATAAACTATTATAATTATTAATTATATATATACAAGTTCATATATAATTGTTTATATATATAAACTATTATAATTATATATATACGATTAACAATTTGTGTGTGTGTGTGTGTGTGGAGATGGAGTCTCGCTCTGTTGCCCAGATTGGAGTGCAGTGATGTGATCTTAGCTCACTGCAACCTCCACCTCCCAGGCTCAAGCAATTCTCTTGCCTCAGTCTCCCGAGTAGCTGGGATTACAGGCACCTGCCACCACGCCTGGCTAATTTTTGTATTTTAGTAGAAATGGGATTTCACCATGTTAGCCAGGCTGGTCTCCAACTCCAGACCTCATGTGATCCACCCGTCTCAGCCTCCCAAAGTGCTGGGATTACAGGCATGAGCCACTGCGCCTGGCCCCTTTAACAATTTTAATTGTTATTATATATATTATGTATAATACACACACACACACACACACTCTCTCTCTCTCTCTCTCTCTCTCTCCCCTAAGATGAGTTCTCTTCCCCTCATCCCACAGTGTCATTTGGCTCCAGGCGGGGGTGGTGGGGGTGAGGTGGTCCAACAGCACATGCAAAATCCCAAAGGGGTTGAATGGGAAGGAGATGGTGCTTAGAACCTGGCATTAAGATGTGGGGCCAGATGGGCACCCAGCTGGGTGCTGGAATGAGGAGCAGGACCAGGACAAGCAGTGCATTTCGGCATCATGGAGCTAGGGGGACAGTAGCCCACCCTATCATGGATTCTCATCTCTGCTGCTTCTGAGGACACTGGGGAGCTTGTCTCCAGGTGTAACTGTCGCAGACATTGATGAGGGTCTGCACCGCAGCCATTACTCACTTCTTCCTTAACAACCAAAACCAGTTCTGTTTGAGTGGCTATGCCCCAAGCCCAGGGAGCACGTGGGAGGGAAATGGAGTTTAGATTAAGGCGATTTTAGCAATCCCATTTTCAGGGTTTGATTCAGAGCAGGGCATATGACCAGATATGACCAATAATACTTAAGGCAGAATAGAACAATGTTCCTGGAAATCATATTTATCTCTTAATAACAGAGGGTTTCAAAAAAAAAAAAAAGAAAGAAAAGAAAAGAAAGTTTTTTGCATCAGAATAGTCCAAACATTTCAAAAACATTGAAACATTCCATCATAATCACTATATTGCAGACTAGTCCTCCTCCCGAGACGCGGTGACTGTAATGATCTCAAGCTGGGATCTCATGGACAGACAGGGGAACTCAAGCTAAACCCTGGTCTTCAAAGAGTTCTGCATGATGCAGTCCCGGGTATGTTCTTTCAATCTAATCCAATGTTCTGTGAGTATGTTAGACTGAGCCCATAAGACAGCAATCCATCTAAAAAATAACAATAAACCAACTAAAACTGCTTAATATAATATATTAAAAATTTTTTTAGGCCAGGCACAGTGGCTCACGCCTGTAATCCCAGCACTTTGGGAGGCTGAGGCAGCCGGATCACAAGGTCAGGAGATCAAGACCGCATCAAGCACCACAGATCCAGTACGCATCTTATTGCATGCCAGTAAAGCCTGTGCTCTTGCTGGATCGTGACATGCCTGGGATCATACACTTTCTCTCAGCTGGGTCAAAGTTTAGAGGAAAGCAAAGGCGGAGGGCCCTCTGATGAACAATGGAGCACTGGACAGCATACTGTATCACCCCTTTATGGAAAAACCCAGAGTAAACTTGCTCATGTGTTCCCTGTGACCTTCGATGTTAGCACGAGGAATCTTCTGAAGTAGTGAGGAACTCTTGGCTATGTTGCTGGGTCTCCGCCTGTCAGACATTCACTGATGGCACAGCTTCAATGAAGAAGTTTGTCTGCCAAAGATTCCCTTGATAAAAGCTCGATCAAGAAATCGCTGAAGGGAGACTCCTCCTACAGAAGAAACCATCTCTGCGAGTAAAAGAGAGTCAGAAGCAAGGAGTCATTCTCCGGAGCCACTTGTGTCGATGCTTAAGTTTACAAACCGATGTAGTATTCTGCAACCACGAGAAGTTGGAGAGTGATTTGAAATCATTCTTTTTTTTTTTTTTTTTTTTTGAGACGGAGTCTCTGTTGCCCAGGCTGGAGTGCAGTGGCCCCGATCTCAGCTCACTGCAAGTCTGCCTCCCGGGTGTCACCACCTTGCTTCCTGCCCTCAACCCTCCCGCAGTAGCTGGACTACAGCGCTGCCACCCAGCGCCGCGCTAATTTCTTTTGTATTTTTAGTAAGAGATGGGTTTCACCGTGTTATGCTAGGATGGTCTCGATCCTCCTGACCTCGTGATCCACCCACTCGGCCTCCCAAAGTGCTGGGATTACAGGCCGTGAGCCACCGCGTCCGGCGAAATCATTCTTAGGATGAGCTGGAAGCTTTTGGAATGTGCACCCCTGCACTTTTGTGCTTCTCGCCATGACAAAACATGAAAATAAAGCTCAGTTAATTCCTCATCATCAAGGTGAGCACCCGGTTCAGTATTCAGCTGGAGTCTGGGATTTCGTCTTTCTTTAATTTTGACTGCACAGCCTTCGCTTAGTTTTTATAATCTTTGAGGCATTAAAAAAGGGTTTTTTTTGTTGTTGTTTGTTTGTTTTTCTTTTTTGAGACAGAGTCTCGCTCTGTCCACCGGGCAGGCTGGAGTGCAGTGGCACCATCTCGGCTCACGTGCAAGCTCGCGCCTCCGGGTTCACACCATTCTCCTGCCCTCAGCCTCCTGAGAGTAGCTGGACAATAGGCGCCGCTACCACCCCTGGCTAATTTTCTTTTTTTTTTTTTTTTTTTTGTATTTTTAGTAGGGGCCGGGTTTTACCGGTGTTAGCCAGATG